CTGGATCAAGTGCTTTTTCTCCATAACAAAATGTTATAAAATAGGAATTTTTTTAGCCCCTTCCCTGCCTTCAGAATGCTGTGCTCATACATGAGGTAATGTCTGTAAAGTGCTATGATCTCCTTGAAGACAAATACTATATAAATATATAGGATTAGGGCCTCTCTGGTGATGCAAGGGGTTAAGACACAAGCTAGGGAGCCAGGGAGCTATCCACATGGCACAGCAGACCTCTTCTGACTCACCTGCTGCTCCCCTCAGCAGTGTATTTCACTCAATCTGCCTGTTCTGCTCCCCACTCTCTCTCTGGTGAATCCTCTTACCCCTCACACCTCTGGCCTGTACCCCAGTTCTTGTATGAATAAATAAATCTTAAAAATAAATAAATAGGATTATTAGCTAAGTAGCTCAAAAACTAGTCTGCGCTTGAATGCATTGGAAAGCAAAGAGGACCAAGGGATAGCAACGAGACTCGTCATTTCCAAGACCCACTTGATTGCCTTGTTTTGGAGACACACAGCTACTTCCCCCAGACACCCAGGAGGGACAGTTAAGCCAACTTAGGCTCCCTGGATTGATGGGTTAAAATACTTGACGAACAAGGCCAGCAGAATTCCAAGCAATCGCCATGTTGGAGAGTTTCTCAGAATGATAATTAAAAAGAAATTCTCTTTGGGCTTTAAATACCAACGCTTGTTCCACCTGCACTAATACGTTCACCAAGGTTCCCACTTGCACAATTTTAAAGGAATCTGGAGTTCAATAAAAGAAGCAAAGGGCTCTTTTATCTTATGTTTGATTTCAAAAGAAGGAGGAGAAGGTAAAAGACAACGGTAAGGCGGGGGGGTGGGTGAGATCTTCTTTCCAGTAATCTCTTTTGTCTCTTAGAAATCATGAATTTTAGTCCTGGAAAGGATCATACAGGTCAACCAAGTCACCTCCCCTTTTCTTTTTAGAAATTTTATATATGGATGGTAAGGGCCAACAAGATACATTAAACTTTCAACGTTTACACAGTTAGTAGGTTAGTAGGACTAGGATTCGGGTTTCTTAGCCCCCAGTTTGGTTCTTTTTACCTTCAATCATTGTGTCTCACTTTACCCCTGAGACCTCAACTGTCTCATTTATAAAATGTAAATGAAACCCAAATTGACTATATAGAAAGACAGCAGAGAAATATGAACATTTGAGATCCCTTCTAGCTTTCAACAAATATTTTTAGAGAATTAATATTAAATAATGGGATATCCATCCAAATAAAAGATTTATTTTCCTTTCATAAAAGTAAGTCAGTCAGGGGCCTCCCCGGTGGCGCAGCAGTTGAGCGCTGGGTTGCAAAGCTGCCCGCAGCCTCTGCAGCGCCAGTTCTATCCCCGGCCACCAGGTGAGGGTCCCACATGGTGTGACAGACCTCTCCTGCCACCCGCTGCTCCCCTCAGCAGTGTACTTCATCGGTCTGCCTGTTCTGTTCCCCGTTCTGTCTCTGGTGAATTCTCTCACCCTCCCGCACTTCTGACTGTACCCAGTGCTTGTATAAATAAATAAATAAATCTTTAAAAAAAAAAAGTAAGTCAGTCAGGAGGTAAATGCAGTGGCTGGTATTTGTTTAATGGTTTAATGATGTCATGATGGACCCAAGTAATTCTATCTTTCTAGACCATCATATTCAGTGCTGGCTTCTTATGTATGACTTTTCCCTCAGGGTTACAAGACAGCTTATTCAACACCAGATGTCACTTTTTTTCTTCAAAATTTCATTTAATATTTTATATAAACACCAAGCATGTGATGAAGTCATTTAATCTTGTAACCATGTTAGCTGTAGTTCTTTCACAAATACCCTATCAGACTGAGAAAGATCAGTCCCTTTATAATTGATGAAAGTGTTTAAAATCATGAATGAGCATTGAATTTTGTGAAGTGAATTTTCTTCATGGACTGAGAACATATGAATCATATGAATTTTCCCTTTATTCCATTTATACAGTGAATAACATGGATTGATTTTTAAGATGTTGAAACAACCTTGCATTTCTCTAAAATTTCTCACTTGGTTAAGCTCTCTTACTCCTTTTAGATGTCAGATTTGACTTGTCAATATTTTGTTAAAATTTTTTGCATCTGTGTTCATAAGGGATGAGACAGATCATTTTCTTTTTGTCTTGCTACTATATAAGGATTATTTTGACCTTATATTGGAAGTTAGGAAGAACTCCCACCTCCTGTTTCTCTAAGCTTATACAAGATTGATATGATTTCTTTTTAAAATTTATTTATTTATTTATAGAAGCACTGGGTACAGTCAGAATTCACCAGAGCCAGAGCGGGGAGCAGAGCAGGCAGAGGACCAAAGTACACTGCTGAGGGGAGCAGTGGGCGGTGGGAGAGGTCTGTGCGCCAAGTGGGACCCTCACCCGGCAGCCGGGGATTGAACCGGCGCTGCAGAGGCTGTGGGCAGCTTCGCAACCCAGCGCTCAACCGCTGCGCCACCGAGGAGGCCCTGATTTCTTTTTTAAATGGTTGATTTTACTACTGTAACCAATGAGCCTCGAATGTTCTTTGGGAGATCTTATAGGATATGGAATTATTCAGATATCCTATGTCTTCTTATGCTAACTTTGGGAAATTGTACTTTTCAAAGAATTTTTTCATTTCATCCAAATTATTGTAATTGTCAACATAAAGTTATTCATAATGTTTTCTTGTTAGCCCTTTAATTTCTGCAGGATCTGCAGCAATGTTCTTCTGTAATTATTGATTTTAGTTATTTATGGTTTTCGGTTTTTTGCAGATCAATTTCATTAGGAGTTGATCAATTTTATTAATATTTTCAAAGAACCAACCTGTTGGTTTTGTCAATTGTCTAACACTTTTTAAAATTTGCTCCTTCTACTCACAATGGGCTTAATTTGCGTTTCTTCTCATAACTTCTTAAAGTAGAAGCTTAAATAATGATTCCAAATTTGTTTTTCTTTACTAAAATGAGCTTTTGAAGCTGTAAACTGCTTGCTAAGTACTGCTTTGGCTACATTCTATGAATTTTGATGTATCTCATTTCCATTATCATTCTAGTTGAATTGCTTTCTAGTGCCCTCAGGACTTGTGGCTGGCATAAGTTAAGAATTCAGTGTGTTACATCCCATTAGCCCAGTTTTTCATTTTATTTCATACTCCAAGTTGATAGATCACTCTCACAGTTGTGCTCCTCCCCCTTCAGAAATTTTTAACTTTTCCCACTGCCTGAAACACTACCTCTTCATAGTGGCCCAGACTTCATCCTCCTTGTAATTCCTATTCATCTGTGCAGTGTGACCTCACTTCTTCAAAGAAGCCTTCCCTTATGACCCAGACTGGAAATCCTCTCATGTAATGGTCTGCATGGTGTGTACTCCAAAAGTTTGTGTCCACCTAGAACCTGTGAATGGACCTTATTTGGAAATAGAGACTTTTCAGATGTAATTAAGACTATAATAGACGAGGATGGATGCTAAATCTAACGTGACTTTTTTTTTTTTATAAGAAGGAAATTTGGACTCAGACACACAGGGAAGACATCATATGATGACAGAGACAGAGGTAAGAGTGATGCAACAGAGAAATACCAAAGGTTGCTGGCAACTTCCAGAAGGTAAGAAGAGGAAAGAAAGAATCCTTCTATAGAGTCTTTGGAGAGGGCATGGCCCTACCTACCTTGATTTCAGACTTGCAGCTTCTAGAATTATAAGGGAATAAATTTCTGCTTTTTTTACGCCACCCAATTTGGGTTAACTTGTTGCAGCATTTTTAGGATATTATTACACCATTTTAATTATTTTCATGTATTCTTAATACTTTTCTTTCCTAGCTTTTATTAAATAATTACTTAATATGAATTATCAGAAAATATTGATGGCATAATAATATCAGCCTGGCATTTTAGTGGCGTTTTCCTTAAGGAGATCAACCATAATTAAAACCAGTAGTAATTAAAATCTCAAGTAGTAAGGACTTGGAAGAGCAAATGATTTTTTTTCACTTCACTCAAGTTTTATTATTTGTTTTTTTTTTTTGTTTTTTTTTTTAATTTTCTAGAGGCATGTCTTATTTATCTATTTGTTTGTTTTTTGTTTTTTTTTTGGTTTGGTTTATACATGCACTGGGTACAGTCAGAAGCCGGGAGGGCGAGAGAATTCACCAGAGCCAGAGCAGGGAGCAGAGCAGGCAGACTGACGAAATACACTGCTGAGGGGAGCAGCGGGCGGCAGGAGAGGTCTGCGCGCCATGTGGGACCCTCCTCTGGTGGCCGGGGAGCAGCCGGGGATCGAACCGGCGCCACAGAGGCCGCGGGCAGCTTCGCAACCCAGCGCTCAACCGCTGCGCCACCTGGGAGGCCCTCAAGTTTTATTATTATATATATATATATTTTAATTTTTTTACATCATTGTTCATTTTTAAACATTTGCTTCTCCCCACCCCCTCAAGTGTAGTCCCCACAAAGTTTCCTTCCCCAATGCACCCGTGCACCATCACCTCAGTCCCCTGTGGAAGAGCAAATGATTTTGAGCCTTAGTTTCTCTCTGTAAAAACATCAAGAATTGAGTAAAAATGCCCAGTTCTTAGTAGGTTTTCGGGAGTTGTTTTTCATAATCTTCAGGACCACAAAGGACAGATTGAACTTAAACACTTCAAGTGACACTGCCGTCTGGATATGACAGGAAGACGGGTTGGGGCCGGTGGTAACCTAGCAACAGCGCTGGTTCCTCCTTCTGATTTTGACTTTCAAAGTGCAGAATTGGCCCACGTGCTCAGCGCAACGGCTTCACACACGTTGCCAGCCCGCAAGGGTCGGTCCTGCCCCGCCCCCGGCGCTGGCCCCGCCTCTGCCCCGCCCCCGGCGCTGGCCCCGCCCCGCGTGCGCGCTCCCGGCGCTGGCGATGACGCGGCGCCGGCTGGGCCCGGCGGCGCTGCGGCTCTGGGGAAGGAGCGGAGCCTCCCGGAAGTCCGGCCGCTGGGCCCCCGCCGCCCCGCCGCGGTGCCGGTGATGCGCTCGCTCCCGGCTCCCGGGAGCCCCGGCCGCTGAATCGGGAGTCGCCGAGCAGGTGAGGCTGCCTCGCGGCGCGGATCACGGGAGGGAGGGCGGCCGAAGCAACCGGCCCTGACGGGGACCGTGGGAGCGGGGGGGGGGGGCACGGCGGGGCGGCGAGGACGCGGACGAGCCGCTGGGCCCCCGGGGCCCTCCCGCTCCTACGGCGGGTCTTGCCCGCGTCGGTGCTGCCCCCGCCGGCCGGGCCGCGCGGCCACATCCGGGCGCCCCCGCCGTCGGCCCCGGTGACCCCGGGTGGCAGGTGCTGTCCCCACCCCCTGGCAGGAGAAACCTGCTGTCGCGCTCGCTCCGGTGACCGCGCTGGAGTCTCCCTCGCGCGCTGCGGGCAGTTTGGTTCTCGCCGGCCGGTGGGTGAGATGGGCGGTGGGGGGAGGGGGGGGACCTGGCCCTGGGGAAGGGGTGCTGCGCCGAGGACCCCGTGTCTCGTGTCTGTCCCCTTCTCAGGACAGGGACATGTTCGGCATCATTATTTTGTTTGAATTTAAGTTGCATGCTTTGGATCTCTCCTTGCAAAAAAAAAAAAAGAAAGAAAGGAGCTAAGTTGGCGATGAAGTGATGGTGAGAGCCGTGTTTCTCAAACTTGAATGATGTGTGGATTCCTTTTGAAGAGACAGTTCTCACATTTCCCAGACTAGTCCCAGAACCTACAGCAGTCTCAAGACCTCAGTAAGACGGACACTGCTGCACAGCATTTCCAGAAAACATTTGTCACTAGCAAAGAAGTGCTTTATAATTTAGGAACTTCCATGCCAGAAGAAAAACTAGAGGTTATTAAAGAGTAATGAATTAGAGCCTCAAATCCCTAGTTTAATTTCACAGTCTTTACTGTGTTCTGCATCGTGTCGTGAAAACACCTTGGAGAGACCTAAAAGAGTCATATTTTTTGTTATCTGATATTTGATATTATCTTTTCTTTGTATCAGGTTTGTTAATTATCTCTTGCTTATTTAGCAGAATTATGAAATGAATATTAATATGTGCACATAATTTGTTTCTGTGGTTATTTTAACATTAATTTATCCCTAGCATTTTGTTAATTAACTATGGTTTGCATTTTTCTAACCCTACAAGGAAGGCATTATACCAACCACTGTGCATACTGGAAGAAAAATCAAAAATGAGATTGATCTAAGATTGATCTACATATTTACTTAGCATGTTCATTTTTTAAAGCTGCAAGTGAATAAAAAGAACATTAGAAACTATAGCAAGTTGAATCTTGACAGATAAAAACATTGATGATCTGTACCTTGAAAGTGGAATTCTGAGAACAGACACATTAGTTAGGAAAAATGACCTTAGTAAATGCCAGAGGCAAGAGACAAGAATGAAAATGGGTAGGAGAGAAGAAAAAGACCCAGCTCACTAGTGCAGAGAAATGTTATCTGGGACTGTGGAGATAAAATGGGACCAGCTATTGTTGACCCATGTCTCCAGAAAGTTCTTGAGTTATCATTTGTTTTTGTATTTTGAAAGCAGTGTTTACAAAGAGGTGTTTCCAAAGAGTGGCACTCACAGTGAAAGCAGAGGTGAGTGACCCACCAAGAGATCTGCCTTGACGTAGCAATAATGTCTGCTATAGTCATCTTAGATGTGTGAACTGTTTAGTTCTGTAGACTCTTCAAGGAAGAATGGACAGGACCTGATGAATGCTATGTCACTGAGAAACGAGAATCACAGTTACGAACCAAGTAGTCCCAGTCAATCATGATACCCCTTTTAGACCTGGAGAATTTGGAAGGTGGTTTTAGTTGGTGTGAAGACTGTCACCCCAAATTTAGACTGAGTTAATGCTAAAAGCATCAGTAAGCTTGGATGTGCACCAGAACTTGAAAGTAAGAACCACAGATCTGGGAAACTAATAGGTGATGCAGGAAAAGTGTGACTAGAAAAAGATCTTTTGAAACGGGGACCAGAGTTTCACAAAGGAACAGTAAGAGGTGGTTAATTTGCATTTTCTCTGTCTGCCTTAGGACTGTCAGGGAGAAACTGACAAAGACATTGACAGGTAATCAAATCAGATGGGCTTTACTCCTGTAAAGAAAGTGCAGCTTGGGAGGGCCTCAATAGCTGCGATAGCATTAGTTAATGCATCTCCCCAGTGATAGGTCTACCACAATTTAGTTCTTTTTAAAACCTGACACTTTTATATAGTATTGCTGAGTTTGCCTCCCTATGCTCTTGTGCCAAGATTCTTAGCTGCAAGTACAACTGAAGTACATTTTAAGATCAAATTACACTGTTGTCCTAAATAAAAGTAATTATTTCAGAAATTTAATAGCTGTATTATTTTTTGTCCAACTTTAAATATAATTTTATGTTACAAAAGTACCTGTCCTCTTTTTTGAAATCCTTACATATCTCAAAAAAAGAAAAAAAATGTTCTGGGGCCTCCCCGGTGGCGCAGCGGTTGAGCGCTGGGTTGCGAAGTTGCCCGCAGCCTCTGCAGCGCCGGTTCGATCCCCAGCTGCTCCCTGGCCACCGGAGGAGGGTCCCACATGGTGTGCAGACCTCTCCTGCCGCCCGCTGCTCCCCTCAGCAGTGTACTTCGGTCCTTCTGCCTGCTCTGCTCCCCCGCTCTGGCTCTGGAGAATTCTCTCACCCTCCCGCGCTTCTGACTGTACCCAGTGCTTGTATAATTAAATAAATGAATAAAAAAAAATGAATGAATGAATGAATAAATAAATAAATCTTTAAAAAAAAAAAAAAGAAAAGAAAAGGAAAAAATGTTCTAAGACGAACACCAGATCAGATAGCTCCCTAAATATGCCGCCATCATTCCAGCAGTTCATCTTCTCCTGGGAAATGTGCTCTTTTCTCCTCCCCTTTCCCAAGTCTGCCTCCCATCTCCAGGAATCTTTCTCTAATAACTAGTCTTCTGTGCTCTTCTCTGAACTCTTACAATTTATCATATACATCTTTATATATATTTTAGTGAATTTACCCTATTAGTTCCCAAAGATCAATTTCTTTAATAGATAAAGCAATGAGTAAGCACTTTTAAAATTTTCATATATTATCTAAATGCTCCTAGTACTGACCAGTACATACTAGAGGCTCACCAGCAGCATTCACCACCTTCCCCCACCCCTGTTCGTGAATTATAGTCAGGCTATGCTTTTGGCTCAGCTCATGGTGGTGAACTCTTTGGTTTTTATTTATATTTCTCTGAATATTAATGAAGTTATATTTTATCGGTTTTTGTATTTATTTTGTTAATTTGATGCTTTCCAGTTATTCTTGCTCATTTGTCAGCTCATGTTTCTCTTATTTATATACAAGAATTTTTTGTATGTAAGAGATACTTTGTCCCTTTGTCATGCGTATTACAAGTAATTTTCCCAAACCTTTTGTATTTAAGAAGGAACATTTCAGAAATTTTAAATTCTTGTGTAGACTTCATGTAGACATCCTTTTTTTTAATTTATGGTTTGAGACTTTGGTGTTAATTTGTAGAAACACCTTACCCCATCCTTGTTGTTCCCCAGCCCACAGATAGTATTTACCTACATTTTCCTCTTACATTTTAATGGCCGTTTTTTTTTTTTTTTTTTTTTTTTAAATATTTATTTATTTATTTATTCATACAAGCACTGGGTACAGTCAGAAGCGCGGGAGGGTGAGAGAATTCACCAGAGCCAGAGCGGGGAGCAGAACAGGCAGAAGGACCAAAGTACACTGCTGAGGGGAGCAGCGGGCGGCAGGAGAGGTCTGCGCGCCATGTGGGACCCTCCTCCGGTGGCCGGGGAGCATCCAGGTATCGAACCGGCGCCGTGGAGGCTGCAGGCAGCTTCTCAACCCAGCGCTCAACCGCTGCGCCCCTTAATGGCCGTTTTTAACATTTAAATATTTGAGCCATTGGAATTCTAGTAAAAGGTGTGATGTAATCTCACCGTATTTAAATACTTAAATGTAGCCACTTTATAAAAATAAACTATTTTTGTCACATTCGCTAGGGTTTTGAATGACAAATTTCTTGGAGTATTTGGATTTATTTAATATTTTACTATTTAACACATTAACAAGATGAAATAAAATGCTGAATGTCTATTAAGCTCTTTGGGCCACTTTTAAGTCAGTGATTATCAACGATCATTTAAACAACTAGATAATTTTTTTTTTGCTTTTTGTCTAAACTTTTAAAGCACAAATATTGTCCTAAAGTGGGGTATGTGGTACAATATGGACACTGCATTAAAACCTGAACTAATTAAAGCATTTTTTTCCTTTTGTCAGATAACCATCATTACTATTTTTTACCCATAACTTTGTGTGTATGAATGTGTGTGTGTAGGTGTGAGATTTAGCCTCACTACTGCACTGTAAATCCCTAAAGCGTTGAGTCCATATCTGATTCATCTGTGTCTCCCATTCCATGAGGCAAACAATGGTTGTGTGACTGGCGCTGGTCTCTGGGAAAACAGAATAAGAGGGTACACCTACCACTGAGGGGTTTGCCATGTGATGAGAAAGGCAACCACAAGTATGGTGCCCTCACCACTGCTGTAATGTGCAAATGCTCTGGGGGTGTAAGGGTTAAAGACTTCCCCACAGAGGAATCATGCTTGACTTGTGTCCAGAGAGACACACTTGTGTCCAGGAATGCCAGCAGGTGGCCGGGAGAGAGAGTCTTTCAGAGAGCAGGGGAATGCAGGCCCTTCAGTGACTCCAGCCTGTTTAGTGTGCTGGAGCACAGGGTACCTCTGTAGAGGTCTGTACAGTGATGAGACAGGTAAGAGAGACAGGAACTAGATCAATGCTGCCTAGTGCAGAAATTACATTGGGCCTTTGAGCACTCAAAATGTGACTAGCAAGTGCAGCTCGGAGCTGAAATTTTAATCATAATTATTTTAGCCACAGTAATAGGTGGCCACCACCGTAAACAGACTGGGTCACTAGGGACCTCCTTAGGGCTTTTTCACAAGTGAGAGAGAAACTTGGGAGGCATCACGATTCCTGTTTGTTTTGGAAAAATAACTGTTTTGAACCATTTTGGTCTCAGAACTCAAACTTGACTTCTTGCCAGGCACTTTCCTATGGTCTACACTGCTGAGAATGCTGCAGTCAATCAAGCAGGCAAATTTCATCCTCATAGAACTAGCATTCTAGAGAAGACACTTGAGCAAGAGAAATGTGAAACACACACACACACACACACGAGGACAAGGATAAAAGCATGGATTCTCATGCCTGAGTCTAGCTCTTTTATTTATAATCACATTGTATTAGCTGTGTGACCACAGGCAAGTTACTTAGCTTCTCTGCCTCCTCTGTAAAATATTATACAAATATTATCAACCTTATAGATTGTTAGGAGGAATATATTAATATTTGCAAAGCATATAAACAGGGGCTGGTATATGATAAACACAATGTAAGTGTTACATAAATAAGAAATTGCTAAGGGAAAAAAATAAATCAAGGATGTGAGATGGGAAGAGGAGAGAGCTTGCAATTTTTAAGGGGCATCAAAAGAAAGCCTCCCTGAGGAGGTGACATTGAGCACAGAACTGAAGGGAGCAGACTGTGAGCCATACCGATTATTTCCAAGCAGAAGGTGCAGCAGAGGCCTTGGAACCAGGGAGATGCCCTTCCATCCGTCATGGCTCACTCATACCTACACTCACTCCCACTGGGATCAGTTAGGCAGGCCAGGTAAACTAACTTGCACCTCTGTAAGATGTGGGGGGAGACTGGTGCACCCAGAGAAAACCCACCCAAAGGGGGAGCCTGCACACTCCACACACAGTGGCCCCAACTGGGAATTGATTTTGTTTCCCTCACCAACTATTAAATATAAGAGGCTATTACTCAAGGGCCTGCTGACAGCACTAATTAGGAACACCGAATCTTGCAGGGTGCATGGTACATAGAAGAGAGATCTAATAGATGATCATCAGATGAAAGAATATTTCAGATTCTCGCTCAGTTAACCATTCTGCCCATAAGGTAGTTAAGATCTATTTGGTGACCTGGAATTTTTGGGTCACTGAGACAATTTTAGGTAGACAGCATTAGCTAAATAGTGCTCGACTATCGTCCTCTCTTTGATTTAGGCCTTTATCTCACAGCATGAAACTAAGTGTGTTGCTCAAAATAAACTCTTCCAACAGCTTCAGTGCAAGGATCACATACCCGATTGTGTGTGGTTGAGTTAAACATGCACTTGGTTAAAAACATAAATGTTGGGGGCCTCCTTGGTGGCACAGGCGGTTCAGTGCAGGCGGTTCAGTGCAGCGCTGTGAAGCTGTCCGCAGCCTCTGCAGTGCGGATTTGATCCTGGACAGCCTCGGAGCAACCCACATGGCAAGCAGACCTCTCTTGTCTCACCCGCTGCTCCACTCAGCAGAGTATTTCATCAGTCTACCTGTTCTGTTCCCCACTCTTTCTCTGGTGAATCCTCTCACCCTCCCATGCATCTGGCCTGTACCTCAGTTCTTGTATAGAATAAATAAATAAATAAATAAATAAATGTTTCTTTGATTGTACCATTTTTGAGATTTTTCTCTCTTCGTGGAACAGGAGGACTCTAACTCCGGAAGGAACCTATTGTTTCTGTGATGGTGTGTGAGGTCTGACTCCCAAAACATTGTCTGACCTCTGACCCGTCAGGATGGGGAGGTGAGTGATGTTGCCCAGTCACTAATACTGTAAAACCTGAGATTTTGGTGCCATAGAAACAGATCTTGAGGAAAAGAAAAATCTAAATTGAAAATGGAAAGTGTTGGAAGTTGGAGGATACTTTTATTTTTCCTTTGTCTTTCCAGGGCTCCTGTCACAAAAAGAAAATGTCCAGTGGGTTCTAGAAGGGTTAATGAAGTTCACCATTAAGGGCGTATTTGTTGGAATCTTGAGAATAGCCATTTGGAAGTGTGGGCAGGGGGTGATAAACTCCATGGAGTAGCCCAAGAGCCTCCATAGGGACTGGGAACCTGAACTGGAAAATTCCATTGGGTGAGCGGGATCCTCCTCACCCTGTGAGAGACTTCAGTACATGTAGTATTCTTTTAACGGAAGAGAATAGAAATTTACTATAAAATTTATCCTAAAGGTTTTCTTTAATCTCTTGTTTCTGCCAGGAACTGAGAAGAAAAGTGTTTATTTCCAGTGTCTCAGGAATATTTCTAAAAACATAGGATGTAACAAAACTCATTTACTGACTTTGTTGTGGGGAGGTTGTTACAGATACTGTCTTCTCCCATTTTCTCACAGTCATGGGAGAGAAATTTGACTGGGAATTCAATGTTAAAAAACTGTATTCCTGGGCCTCCCCAGTGGCGCAGCGGTTGAGCGCTGGGTTGCGAAGCTGCCCGCAGCCTCTGCAGCGCCGGTTCGATCCCCACCTGCTCCCCGGCCACCAGAGGAGGGTCCCGCATGGCGCGCAGACCTCTCCTGCCGCCCGCTGCTCCCCTCAGCAGTGTACTTCGGTCCTTCTGCCTGCTCTGCTCCCCGCTCTGGCTCTGGTGAATTCTCTCACCCTCCCGCGCTTCTGACTGTACCCAGTGCTTGTATAAATAAATACATAAATACTTTAAAAAAAAAAAAAAAAACTGTATTCCTTCTGAGATATTTTTATGTTTTTAATTTGATGGACAGGTTTTGGCCACTAGAATGCGCAGACCCCTTTGTATGTCCACCTCGTAACAACCATTTCTATGCACTAAATTTTCTTTTGGTTTTGCCATTCTTAAAATTAAACCTCATTTCATTATGAATTTGTATATTTATCTTACTGAATTTACTATTATAAGGTATCTCTAATTCCTTTTTTTTTTTTTTTTTTTTTGTGGAACAAAGCAGGGTACCTCTTTGGAACAGATTGTTTTGAAACCTGATTTATTTATTTATTTTTTTTTTTTGAAATTTCAGGATTGGAATCTCCTGTCTTTTTCCTGCTTCCTGGCATTTTAGCATCTCTCCAGTGGGGTGCCCTCGAATTCTGAATACCAATTTACGCCAGATTATTGTTATTAGCATTCTGGCTGCTGCTGCTTCACTCTTATACTTCTCTGTGGTCATAATCCGAAATAAGTATGGGAGGCTATCCAGAGACAAGAAATTTCAAAGGTAAAGAATAAAAACATTTATTTTAACTTAGATGGGATGCCATATGCCTTCATTTCCGAACTGAAGACTTTTGGGGTTGGAATTTAAGGAGCATGTAGACAGAAGAACCAGATTCTGTACTGAATGCAGCATGACATGAAAATTAAACTGTTTGAAACTGATTAATCTTTAACTACAAATCCACATCATAATAGGCCCTGGAATAATTAAACTTAACGGCTGTAATATCTTTCAATATGATTTTTTAATATTGATTGTCTGGAAAGAGAGCTTTGCATTTCAGAACTTATTTGAACTTCTATAAAGGGATAGTGAGTGTGTATCTGATTTAGATTATCTTTATTACTAGTAAGACTTTTGTTCTCTACACTAATCATTTGGCAGTTGTTAAGTTGTTAAGTGTTCTAGCAGTGCTACCACACAGCCTAGAAATCACTGACTTGGTACTTCTTTATTACATTTGCTCCATTAGGTTTAGGATGGTATTCTCTGTCTAAATAGAAGTGTGTGTTTGTTTTCCTAAACAAGGTACCTGGCACGAGTTACTGACATTGAAGCTACAGACACTAATAACCCCAACGTGAACTACGGCATTGTGGTGGACTGTGGTAGCAGCGGGTCTCGAATATTCGTCTATTGCTGGCCAAGGCATAATGGCAATCCTCACGATCTTTTAGATATCAGACAAATGAGGGATAGAAACCGAAAGCCAGTGGTTATGAAAATAAAACCTGGTATGTAAATGATAAATGTCTGATTGGTAGCCAGGTTCTGTCTTTCATCCTCTGTGATATCTTTCTGTCCCCACAGCCATCAAAGCTCAGCAGGTGTCCTCATTTTACTTTCTTTTCCTTCTTCTATCCATCTGGCATAGGAGACTAACACCTTCATAGAATATCCAAGAAACAAGTGCTTAAGTCTCCTGAAGCATTTACCATATTGCCTTACTTGTGGTGGCTACTCAAATGTCTATTAGTTGATGTTAATAGGGAGGGGCTTTTTTCTATTTGGTGCCTTTGATTTCTGTCTTTAATGGCAAAGTCATTTCAGGTAATTCATAGAATTCTTATTCCAATACATTTGTGTATGCTTGTCTTTAGAAAAATTTGCTCCCAAATATATTTATAATCTAGATTATTTAATGAGAGTAACCATAAAACTTAGAAGAGTTGTGGTTTTTAGAGATACCACAACTTCTAAGTCAGTGTGTTACACGATATTGAGAGTTAGTTGCCTTCCCCAATTTAATGAGTTGTTCTCAGCTTTTTCATGTGTCATCACCATTTCTGTGGCAGCTCCCTTCTATCAGAGCACTGGAAAGGGAGGGTTTCTGGAGAATCATGAAATAAGCATTTTACATCTTGATCATTGATAATCACTGACTTAAAATGGCCCTTAATAGACATTCAGCATTTTATTTCATCTTGCTGATGTGTTAAATAGTAAAATATTAAATAAATCCAAATATTCCAGGAAATTTGTTATTTAAAACCTTAGTGAATGTGACAAAAAATAATCATACCATATTTTCTCTGATTTCAAAGATACAAATGAAAAGGATTTAATTTGCTTTTAACATGGTAAAATACCTGCCTTCATAGAACAGTTCCTAACTACACAGACGGAAGACCCCTTGGATCTTACTCATTTTTTATTGAGTGATTTAGGCTCCACTTCCTCCTTCAGGCAAACCTTTAATAAGCTGATTGTTCTTTTGTGTTTGGGTAGCTGGGCATGAGCAAATTGCTCAGAAAATTAAAAAATCTCCACCTCATTTTTTAGGTTAAAGTAAGGAATTTAGTCTGAGTCTCTTACAAATATTATTTTGATATCAGAGTATATTTCCATAAATGATTATTGTTTTTACTCTAAACCTTAGGGAAGGATATTTATTTTTCTGTTTTCCTAGCCCTGAAATTTTTATATAACCCTAACCTAGAAATATTTTCAGAGTTAAAGTCATATTGATCAAATAAAAATTTCACCAGGAGACTAGAAAATAAAACTATAGTACATTGCATTTCATCTAGCTTCACAAACCAGGTTCCACCAGTAATTAAACTGCTCTCATAGAATAAGATGAAAATTTTCTTGCCTTGAAGTTGTCCTTTGAGAACAAAGGGATAACTACAGCATCATCCTGGGCTATTAAATAAATAGATTCTCATTAAAACCAGGCTGGACATGCTTCTCTGAGACTCTATACTAAATGTGTGAAATGGAAACCCAAGAACCATTCTAGATACTCTCTGTCCTGAAGCATTGGCTCCCATGTATAGCACTGTTGCAAAACTGATATTATAGGCTTAATGACAGCTGGAAATCGTTTACTTACATGCTCATTCAATAAATATTTATAGGGCACCTACTATTTGGCAGGCATTATATAATTTGAACAAGATACAATTTGTACCCTCAAGAAACTTCCATTTGCAATGAGATAGGCAAGTAAATAGGTTGTTTCAGTAGAGAGTGATGAGATACAACTAGAGCTTGGGGTGTGCACAGAAAGTAATGAGAGCCCAACTTCAGGGTCCCATTAGGGAAGATTGCCACAGAGGAAGTAGCTCAGTGGGTAAGAAGGGGTTAGCCAGGTGAAAAAGGCAGGGAGTAGGTCATGAGGTAGACAAAGGTTTTTTCCAGTAGAGGTACAGGGGGCCCTGAGGCCAGAGTAAGATGCATTATAGAAGTTACTTTCAGTATAGCTGAAGTTGAATGGAAGGAAAGTGGAAAGAGAGGGTGGATGAGAACAAAGGACGCTATGCTATTCTAGAGCGTAGCCTTATCTGGAGGGCAGTGGCAACCCACAAAAGGATGTTAAGCCAGTAAGAGACACTTTTTGCATAGAGACTGGTGGAGGAATTGCCGCCAAGGCTGAAAAGTGAGATATACTGTAGTGGGCTGGTAGAGGGTCGTGCTATCCAGAAGAGATGAGAGGTGTAACAGGTGAGGGGAAACAAGAGGAAGCCCTTAGTGAAACCCAGAGTGCATGTTGGAGGCAGGAAAGGGATTTTTCCCCAGGGATCTGGGAGGCCAGTGATGGTCATTGTAGTCAACACTGAGGTAGGTTACAAGCAGCAAGAGCAGGTCTGTAGTGAAAGTTGAGTTTAGATTTGCATGTGTTGAGTTTTGGAGTGTTGTGAGGACAAGCACATGGGCATGTCTAGTGGACAGTCAACCACATATTGATGTGGACGTTAGGGAAGAGTGACTGGTGATAAGATTTGGAGAACTGAGATATATAGGTGGTGATGGTGGCCACGGGAGTGAGTGAGCTTGCCAGGGTTAAGTGGGAGCATGTTTCTACAGGGCCAGGAGGCACACGTGCAGCTGATCTCACATGTCTGACACATAGTAGATGCTCAGTTAGGTCTGGTTTTCATGACTGAGAAGAAGAGAGCATAGATTTGAACACCTAGTAACACCATCATTTAAGGAAGAGGCATTGTGGAAGGAGTTGCCAGAAGGGTAGGGGAAAACTATTGAGAATATAGTGTGTAGCTTGAATTTCCCCCAGCCACACTGAAGCAGCATAACTCATTAGCCTAAATATCCATTTGTTAATGGAAGTATCCTGTTTCTCTAGGCATTTCTGAATTTGCTACCTCTCCAGAGAAAGTCAGTGATTACATTTCCCCGCTCTTGAACTTTGCTGCAGAGCACGTGCCACGGGCAAAACACAAAGAGACTCCTCTCTACATTCTCTGCACAGCTGGAATGAGAATCCTTCCCGAAAGGTGATCCTCCACGTGAGGGTGGGCAGGTCAGGCCGTGAGGGCTGCTGGTGCTGGTCAGGGTGGTTATGATGGTGGTGGCCTAGTGTTTTATTTTCCTTCCCCCTCCTTTTTCATCATCATCTATAGGAGGACATTAAAATTTCCTTCTCAAAATCTGAAATCCTTCCAGAACTATTCCTTTTGCCAGTATTCATCAAATATCTTTTAACATATTTGTTTATGACTGTAAATATTAAATTATAAAGTGATCATTTAAGAAATTAGTTGAAGGAGCACTTGCAGTGACAGTTTTACATCTGAGAATCATAATTTATACAATTCCTAAAAATTCTTTCCTAAACAAAAGTCTTTCCAATGAATTACTTTGGTTTTCAAATTAACTATTTCATAAAGAGCCATGTTTGTTTTTTCTTTTTTTCAAAAATTTCATGTATTTTGATTGCATATCTTTGCATCGTCTTCCAGTCAGCAGAAAGCCATCCTGGAAGATCTGCTGACTGACATCCCCGTGCACTTTGACTTTCTGTTCTCGGACTCTCATGCCGAAGTAATTTCAGGAAAGCAGGAAGGTTGGTATATTGGTCTTCAGCTTGAAATTTGAGAAGCTATTTCTTTAAATCCTCACTATTTTCCCTAGTATATACTTAATTGAGTTGTTCTGAATGTCTTAAAATTTAGGAAACCATTTTCTTGAGATAGAACCTTTCAATGGTAAAATTCCTTATTATCCAAAAGCAACCCGATAAGAAACAGCTTAGTTTGTCTTCACCACATTTTGCACACATTTAGCTAAATTCATTTTGATAGAAAAAGTTTGTGTTCCTTGCCCAGGTTATATAGCTTTCTGGAATTTTGATCATCATTGAGTTGTTGGAGCTTTCTACTGATTTACTTGCTAGGAAGGGAGAATTCTTGACTTTGATAGACTGAGAAAATATTAGTTCTGTTTTCACAACAATGATTCTACTTGAGAACAAAATGACAATAAAATTATTGAGGAAGAGCTTGCTAGAAATGGAAACCAAAAAACATTTATTTCAAGATCATCTATCATTTCAGAAAATGCCTCCTCTGTAAAGGACACTGTACAGAATACAAAATTGGGTAAAATTCAGATATTGCCATTGAACTGTTTACAGAACAATGAAGTATTCAGTGTAAGGTAAAATTTTAGGAAGATAAAGTATCATGGGAATTCGAAAGAGGGAGATAATTTTTTTTCCAGCTAGAGGCTTGCTGAAGAAAGTGACATTTGAACTGTGCTTCAGGAGTAGTTATAACATGCGAGAGCCTGGTAGGATCTTGGAGGAAGCATGCTCCAAGCAGAACATCAGAAAGGATTACTATGGACGGAGGAACAAAAATATTTTAGTTTGATTGGTTTATGGACCTTTTGAAAGATGGTGGTAAAATTTAAAGTTAGACAGGTCTTGACTTTGTCATGTAGGTGACTCTAGTAGTAGAGGATAGAGTGGGAGAGTTGGGGCAGATTAATCCCATGGACCATTACTGCCTCTGTCTCGAATAGCTTAAACTACAATGGTAACAACAACGGATAGACTGGGCATGAAAAATGTTGTAAACACAGAATGAGACCTGATGAAAGTGAGAGGCAAAGGAAAAGAGGGAAAGTTAACTTGTCCTCAAAGCCTTGGAGTTGATAAGTTTAGTTTCACAAAAAGTTAAAAAAAAAAACTCAGGGTTTCAAAACAACTTACAAATTTCAAAGGAAAATTAACACCTAGGGAATTATATTTTCAGTCTATCTAAATGATATGAAACTACATTTTAAAGTTGAAAAGCTTGGGAAACCACTAGGAAGAGATTTATCAGTAAAAATGTGTTATTTCAGATATTTTCACAGGTTGTCAGGGAGCTAAATAAATGGGATATTTGCACAGACTGCATTCATAAGAATTACACAAAATATTTTTTAAACTGTTCTTCTTTGTCTTCACCCCGTGAAATGTCTGCAGGTGTGTATGCTTGGATTGGCATTAATTTTGTCCTTGGACGATTTGAGCATATTGAAGATGGTAAGTATCATGTGTCTCACTGGAAATGATGGCTTTTTAAATTTAATTCAAAGGATAAAAAGGGAACCAAGTTTCATAACATGGCTCTGTGTGTAGGAGTAGAGCAAGAGGAGCTGCTGTCACAGGAGGAGCTTGATTTAATTGTGAGGAGCAGGGGGGCTTCCTAGACAGTGCAGGAAACATACCCTGAAAACAGGATGTCTCTTCAGAAGATCCCGGTTCTCTGAATTTGTTCTGTTCCAGTGGATGTTTCTTGTTCTTTCCAGATGATGAGGCCATTGTGGAAGTTAACATTCCTGGTAGTCAGAGCAGCGAAGCCATCCTCCGCAAGAGAACAGCTGGTATTCTCGACATGGGAGGCGTGTCGACTCAGATAGCATATGAAGTCCCCAAAACTGTAAGCTTTGCCTCCTCACAGCAGGTTATTATCTGTACAAATTCCTTCTGTTTGATTTGGTTTTCATTTAACATGTCTCCATCCATTTTTGTTTTGTTTTCTGAGTCTGAACCCATCTTTACTGTGCTTGCTGAGGTACCACCTTCTCAACCCAGGAGAGAAGAGACAGGAGGAAAGCGAGGCAGCCTCCGCTAACTGATTTGTGTTTGTTCATTGAAGTCAGCTGGTTTGTTTTATGAACTTACTTAGAGTTTTTCTTTGGTATATATGTCAGTCGCATCCTTGAGTTTTTATTTTCTCTTCAATCACTTCTTTTCTCAACAGGTATTATAAAACTTAATATAATAATGTCATATTTCTTAAGATATAATTGGGAAAATACTTTTTTTTTTTAAATGACTCAGGCAACTTTTCACATTTCCGGACAGAACTGAGATTTGTATCTGTTACTTCCACATTTCTTAACTCAAGAGTTACTCTCATTTCTCTTCATCCCCTTCATTGCTCTCATTCACTGCCTGTAGTTTCCTTGTGGACTGGGCAGCCTTGCATAGAAATCACCAGAAGGGTTACCAGGTATATTCTTGAATGGCTACACGTCTTTATTACTCTTCTCATATAGCTGTGGATTAATACCTAAACTTGGTTTCCCTCACTTTCCCTTAGAAGGTAGTGTGCAGCTTAGTGTGGTGGCTAATAAATACAGCTCAACAAGCCTAGACTGCACCCTCATCCTGTCCTCACTGGTTGTGTGACCTTACACAGGTCACTTGCCTTCTTTGTTGTGGTTTCTTACCTGTAAATGTGAATGCAAGTACCTCTAATGTGGCATATCTAAGGCACGACTGGGCACCTAGTGTGTGTGCTCAGTGAATGTCATTGATATATTTACTGAGCGCCTTAGAACGATACTTTTCTAAAGTAAAGAAATAATATTTGAAATAAACTTAAGTTTTCCTACTGGAGGTTTTCTCTACTTCCCATGCTAGACATGCCTCTAGAAAATGTTACACTCTTGGTAAAATGTCAAGTTTTCCCCCTCAAGATAAAGTTTAAAAGTACATATGAAGAACTTTGGAAAAAATACTGGAAAATCAAGATTAAGAATTTCTCATGATGCATCATCCCAGAAATTCATTGTTAGCATGTATTTCTTTCATTCTTTTTCCCCTAAGACTTTTTTCTTTAATCCAGTTGTTATAATCTTGTTGTTATGATTCTGTATCCTTATTTAACTGTGCATAACCTTGTTTCTCAACAAACTATTGATTACCATAATTACATGCTGCATTGGTAGTGTGTATTTAGATGACATCTGTTTTGTTTTGTTTTTAATCACTGAATTGCAAAGGACTTCTTTGTGTATAGAGACTTCTCTGTGTTTAGGATTATTTCCAAAGCTTAGGGTTCCATAAATAGATTTACTAGGTCAGGGGATATGAGCTAATATTGCTAACTCATTTTTCAAAATGTCATAACAATATCAAAAAATGTTCAGCACACATGAAATTTTTTAAGTCAGAATTGTCATATGGGATTAGAAGTATGTGTAGAAAGATCCTTGGGAAATGCAGAAGCAGAAATATTTGCTTCTCTTACATGAAAGTCTTTTTAGATACTTTTTTTGGTGTTGTTAAAAATACTAAAGTTTATTATCCTTATGTCTGCAGGAGGAGGTAGCTAAGAACTTGTTAGCTGAATTTAACTTGGGATGTGATGTTCACCAAACTGAGCATGTGTACCGAGTCTATGTGGCTACATTTCTGGGGTTTGGTGGCAATGCTGCTCGACAGAGATATGAAGACAGATTATTTGCCAACACAGTTCAGAAGAACAGGTAAATGACCTTCCACTACTCAGTGATCGCTTTCAAACTAGGTCTCTGTTTGGGAAGAATATATCCAGGCAAAGTAGGGAGGAGGCCTTAGTCATCAAAAGAGGTCAGCACTATTAGCTTTTTATTCCCCTACCAGCTGAGCTGGGAGAAGTAAAAGGACATCAGGTCCTGCCTTCAGTCCTCCATCCCACAGAGCCACACCTCACCCGTTGGATTAGAAATGTCGCTGTCAGGTTATTCAAATAGAATTGAGCCCTGGGCAGTGCTATTCTAGATGGCAGAGTCCTTGGGAAACTCAAGTGCCTGGGCCACACAGTACATGTCCAGAAGCCTGCAGTAAGTATATGCTCTGGCTATTGAAGATAATATTGAATTATGATGTTCTGGCAACATTATAGAACATTAGCCCATGCAGTTATTTGGTGAGAACCATAACATGAGAGAACCATAACATGAGAGAAAGAAGTGATCTAGAAGCTAAAGCTGGTCATTTTAAAACTTTTTAGCAATGAATCTTTTAAATAAAAGTTTATGAAGGATTCTGGTATTGAAAATATAGGACACAAAAGCACCATTTTATCTGTTTTCAATTATTTTTTCAGTTTGAGTATAGAGCAATTATTTGAAATTAGTCCATAAGAACAAGCTATAAGGGCCTCCCCTGGTGACGCAGAGATTGAGCGCTGGGTTGCAAAGCTGTCCGCTGCCCGCAGCCTCTGCAGCACCAGTTCGATCCCTGGCCACCGGCAAGGGTCCCACATGGTGCACAGACCTTTCCTGCCGCCCGCTGCTCCCCTTAGCAGTGTATTTCGTCAGTCTGCCTGTTCTGTTCCCCTCTCTGGCTCTGGTGAATTCTCTCACCCTCCCGCACTTCTGACTGTACCTAGTGCTTGTATAATAAATTAATAAATCTTAAAAAAAAAAAAAAAGAACAAGCTATGAATAAAAATTCTGAAATCTGGAGTTATGTAAGATATCCTATTGATTCCTATGTTTTGTTTGTTATGGAGGGGAAAATCTTAATTCATAGAGGGGAAACAATTTTGAGAAGGAAAAATCCTAATTCATAGAGATAAATGATAGTAAATATCTTTGGTAATTTTATTCTTAATAACCCTGTGAATGCCTGGGTTATTAAGAATAAAATTACCAAAGATATTTATTCTTAATAACCAAAGATATTTATTCTTAATAACCCTGTGAAGGCCTGAACTTTAAGAAAGGCCAAGTTATAGCCATTCAATCCCACATTCATACAGGTGAATGTGAAAAACAATAAAAACATCTTCCTATATCTGCTCCAAACATGAATTAATAGTGTTAGTTAAGAGATTGGTGGTTCCATAGTTTCTGGTTTGTTTTTTAATGGTAGATAGCCCATTTTGGTAGTTATTTTTTTATATTTTTAAAACATATTTTATTCATGACATTTGAGTCGGAGTTCTGCAAAAATACCTTCTTTTGGAACCCTAATTTTTACTAATTAATTTTAATTTCAAGAAACTTGTATAATGAACAGTTTAGTTCTTCTTAATTGAAATGTATAGGAGAACTAAAAACAGCAGTATGAGGTATACATTTGACTAATCTTGGACTTTTATAATTATTATAAATGTTGTTCATGACTTTTTGTCATGAATTAAGTCTTGCAATGCTTTTTTTAATCTGTGCATATAGTGATTATTATTTTTTAATTAATTAAACTGTGTAAATGTTAAATACCTTAACTTATTACATTCAAGTACATTTCAAGTTAGGAATGAATACACAGCTTGTCAATTGAGCAGTGAGTACAAACTTGACTTAGTACCCATGGCTGAGTATTGGATTCATGCCCTCTCCTGATGTTAAACACATATAGGCCCTGCAATTTCATGGTTCAGATACCAGTGTAACTTCAGCTTTTACAAGCTCTTTTCACTTTCTCAGTAGCTTAAAGGTAAGTACACAGTAGGGTGACAGATCTTGATTCTGGGAAATTTTATTGAGAAGTAAATCTAATGCATTTCTGTAAACAAAGATAAGCATTCTTTTCTGTGGCATTTCTCAGAGCCTCTGGTACAATAGAAACTACCACATTTGGGATCAATAGTTAATTTAAAAATCAGTTAAAACAGAGAATCATGAAAATAGAATCAAACCTTCAGCATTTGTCTTAACTTATGTGTTCACTTGCCAATCTTTTGCTCTCTGGGCTAGAGATTTGTCTTAGGCTCCATTGCCATTTCTCTGGCATGCACACCCCACTCATCTTGATGTCATTTTGACTTTCTTTAAAAAATATTAAGGACTTAAAGATATTTGGGGAGCAATCTGATACTATGTCCTTTTAGATTTTCCCTAACTTGGTTTTTATCAAACACATGATTAGGCAAGGCAGCAGTTTTCTAGCAACTTGCCTTTATAATATTTTTCAAAACACCTAACCTAGTTTTCACAGGACCAGTTAATTCTTTTCACTGTCACATTTCATCTATATAGCATTAAAATAACAAACACTTGTGGTAAAAATGGAACTGGGAACGACACCAGGCTGATATCCTTACAAACCACAGACAGTCAGTGGCCCGAGCGCCAGGCTGTGTCTCAGTACAGAAGGCGCTGGGTAACCTGACCAGTTGTTCACTAGATGGTTAAGAGCCTGCTAGATGCCTGTCTGTATCATGAATCTCCAAGCAGGACTTGGGTACCGATTTTCCTAACTTAATTATCCTGGAACGATTATGTGTTCCCACAGAACCTGAAGGACTTGTTTCCACAGGGCATGTTTTGAGAAACAGCTACTTCTCTGAAACACGGTTTTGTTGCTCTCATAATAAAGTACTCTCTGTCCCGTAGGCTCCTGGGGAAACAGACTGGCCTGACTCCTGATGCCCCGTACCTGGACCCCTGCTTACCCCTGGACATCAAAGATGAAATTCAGCAAAATGGACAGACCCTGTACCTCCGAGGAACAGGAGACTTTGACCTGTGTCGAGAGACTCTCCAACCTTTCATGAATAAGACAAACGAGACACAGACTTCCCTCAATGGGGTCTACCAGCCCCCAATTCACTTCCTGAACAGTGAATTCTATGGCTTTTCTGAATTCTACTATTGCACTGAGGATGTGTTACGAATGGGGGGAGACTACAATGCCGCCGCATTTACTAAAGCTGCAAAGGTGACCTTCAGGGAAACCGTCTTCTCCTGCATGCTTTTAGAGACTGTGAGAACAGTGGGCCAAATGATGGGGAGGTGAAAGATGGAAAGTGGTAGCTCAACACGTCGGGAATCCTCTTCCCTGGTTGAGGAGGGCATAGACAGAGCATAAGTAAAAAGTCCATTGTGAGCCTGCTTCTGCCCCCCACTCCATGAACTGGTCTGGTCCTCAGTGGCCTCCCACCTCCTGTCTGCTGTTACTGTGTAAGAATGTGATTATTCCACTCCCTCAGCTGCCAGGACTCCTAGTCTGTCTCTTGCCTTTCTGAGAGCTTCTCAGGCTCTTTCAAAGTTTTCCCGCTTTCACACCCACACTTCCACCTTTGGCCTCTGACCTCACGTTCCTGGATGGTCTCCCCCATGCTTATGGTTGGCTGCTGTGTATTAGAGTCCCAGTGCCAGCTGGATTTCATGGTCTAAACATGTCTCAGTTAATAGCATCGCTAACTATCCAGTCCCCGCCCCGAAGCCCAGGAGTTATAGATGTCTCTCTGTCACGCATTTATCCCTACCTGGACACCTACATATAATCAGTCATCAAGTGTATTATTATCTCATAAATATTTCTCAGACCTCTCCCTGCTTTCTATCCTGCTCTCACCATCCTAGTCCAGACTTGTCTGTCATCCATACTATATAGCAGGAGCTTTCCAGATGGCCTCTCTGCTGTTCATTCGCCACACTTTCCAGAATGTTCTGTCTGAAACATAAGGGCAATCACTTGTTCCCTGTTTAGAATCTTTAATGGCTACCTTTTGCTTTGGAAAAATTCCAGTTACCTCAGCATGTCACCCCCACCCTATAGCATTACCTTCCCACCAGCCCTATATACTGAAGTCACATCTGGCAGCTTTTCATTTCCCTCATATCTTTGCTACATCCACTGCGTTTTGTTCATATTGTTCCTCTGCCTGAAACCTTTGTCCCACTCTCACCCTGAGTACCACTTCCTGGGTTCCCTGACCTTTCTGGGTTCCCTGCCACGGGCCTCAGGCAAGTTTTCCCTCTTCTCTGAGCCTCAGTTTCTTCACACTTTAAATAGAGGTTAAGAGAGTAGCCCTGCAAAAGAGTTAATTATTCCATTCAGAGAACGGAATTTTACACTTACACCATGCTCAGTAAACGTTACTATTAATGTTACAAGCACTTCAGGAAAAGGTGCACCCCTTTACTTTCTCTTAAAAGACACAGCTTTTTGTAATCTGTCCTCAGAATCTTGCACCATGTAGCTATAGCGTCCAATTTGTAAAATATGCCTGTCACATGCAGTCCTGGAGGGACAAACTAAGTGATTTTGAAGAGCTGGCTGTGGGCAGTAAAATTCTCTTTAACAGTAACATTGGCAGAATTTTAAGACAAAGAAAAGTTTTGTCTTTCGTAGTCCATAAGTACTGAGTCCATTCTTGCCTTCATGCTATACATATAAAATGTAAGCTGGTGCTTCCTAATTGGAAGCATATGCTTCTTAGGAGTATGAATTTGGAGAACCCTTGTTAGAATGAAAAAAATTGTTTAATAAGCCTTTACTAATTTATATTGGGTGAAATTTCTTTCAGGATTATTGTGCAACAAAGTGGTCGATCTTGCGGGAACGCTTTGACCGAGGGTTGTATGCCTCTCACGCTGACCTCCACCGGCTAAAGTGAGTAGTGGAGCCTGAGCTCAGGGCATTTATGAGAAATTATGCATGCGTATTGGCCCCCTGACTTGCCACTTCCTGGCTCCACCCTGCCTTTTTATCACCGTCAATCACTGTTCCTTCTCATCAGCCCTGGGCTCTTTTCAAATGGAACAGATACTGGTGTCCAGACACATCCCATAGTATCCCATAGTTTGGGCTCAGCTTTGCTGTTCCTTCCACATAGAATCCCCTTGTTGATGTTGCCCTGATATCAGATCCAAACAGTTGCTGTCCTGTTAGTCACTCTCTCTGTCTACCCAGCCAGACTCCATCCCCCTCTCTCGTGGCATCTGTCGTTTTCTGCTTTGTTTTATAGTTATTTGTTGCTTTTTTTAAAAATCCTCTTTCATTAACAATTTTATTATTTAGTTATTATCTTACTGCTTGCTTAACAGTGTTTGGCAAAAAGCAAACTTTGAATAAATAATTAGAATCATTGAATATCAGAGCTGAAAAGGATCATCCTGCCTTCTCATTTTATGATAAAGAAACTGAGATCCAAAGAAGTTGGAACTTGCTGAGTATTTACTCACTGGCTAAATAATGGGGTGCCCAAGAGATCATCTGCCCTGGCAACGCATCAGATATGCCAAGACCAGGCTTCATGGGCTAATAGGTTTTGGCACGTGAGATGTTCTGTGTGGTCGACAACAGTATGAGTGAACTAAGTCAACTAGAAATGCCAGGGTCAGTTTGGCTTCCCAGAGAGCAGCCTAATGAAGACTTTAGGCACAGGTTGGTGGCAGAGGGGAGGGCTCTGTGTAAGGGGCATCTTGACAATTATTCCCACTCACGTTTGGCTTGATGTTTGTAGGTATCAGTGCTTCAAATCTGCCTGGATGTTTGAGGTGTTTCATAGGGGCTTTTCATTTCCCACCAACTATAAAAATTTAAAGACAGCATTGCAAGTTTACGACAAGGAGGTTCAGTGGACCCTCGGAGCGATCCTTTACAGAACCCGCTTTTTACCCTTAAGGTATGGCTGTGAATTTGGTAAATGATTCAAACCGAAATGCTTTTTTGCAATTATGATGCATTGTGGCCGCTGTGGTTTGTGGGTGTTTGGGGTGTTGGAGTTAGTGCTGGTGTGGGCAAAACAGTTGTCGGCGAAGTTAGTGCCTTCTCTACCTCACTGCCCCCACTCTCTTTCCTGCCTGTCGTTCCATAACGTGCAGGGCTGGTTTCTCGCACAAGGGTTAGTTCCAGAGATCTTACCCTGATGACTTAAACCCCTTTTCAAAGTACTGTTTTTAATGCATAATCTAAATATATATAGGATTACAGAGGAAACTATGTTAATTGAAGTAAATATCAAAATATAGAAAACAGTATGTGGTGTAGTACTATATTTCCTTCATTAACACATTAAATAACAAGATAGTACTTTCTGTGATTTCAGTGTAGTGCTATGTGGATGGTGTTTTTAAGAAATCTGCAGAACACCATAATGTAAGGTCAAAGATCTGCGTTTCGGTAGGGACAGAGAGAGGCAGCTAGTATATAACAGTTTGTTGTCCACATTCATGTGCAAAGGGGAACTGCGTTTCAGTCAGTTTGCTTAAATAAAGACGTCCATTTCTCCCCATTAAGTTCACATACCTGACTCTCAGTGGACCCCCGTGTAAGAACCCAGGTTCACTGATAAATGATGCGTTAACTTTGGGAAGGGGGAGTTCCCCTTCATTTTATTGAGCATCTCCAGACAGTATGTGTAACTGCAAAAATTGTGCATCCCCGGGTACTGACCACAGGCATGTTTTGGTTCCATGTTGGCCTCCATGTGCTAGTGAAACTTGCAGTTCTGAATTTCTCTGACCCACATCCTGTTGCACTGTTAAGTCACATTTTTTGTCTGGGTGGTTTTTTGCTCCCTTCTCTCTCAGAGGTTTTGTTGTTTTTTTGTGGCAGGGATATCCAGCAGGAGACCTTCCGAGCCAGCCATGCCCACTGGCGGGGCTTCTCCTTCGTTTACAATCACTACCTGTTCTGGGGCTGCATCCTGGTGGTCCTGCTCTCCATCCTCCTCTACCTGCTGCGGCTGCGGCGCATCCACCGGCGGACTCTCCGGAATGGCTCTGCCGCCGCCCTCTGGCTGGAGGAAGGCCTCCCTGCACAGAAGATGGTGGGCCCCCTCTGAGCCAGGCAGAGAGCTCCAGGGAGACTTTCTACAGGAAAAGCCATTTTTGCCTCAGGGGTTCTCTTTATTCTCCTCTGGTGTCATTTTTCCGTTCCCTCTTTAGTCTTTGAAACAAAAACAAAATCCATTGTCTGTGAATTCTGCTGTCCTGCAAGTGTTGCATTTAGCCAGTTTGTATACAGCTTTAAATCGAGGAGCAGGAAAAAGGGAAAATCACTTGATTTTTGCTGCATAGGATATCAACCAAAAATTGCTAAGATTTTTGGTCTTTCTTTAAGGTATGTTGTATTTTAAGAAGATGCACTTTGATATTGGAGGAAAATGGCAAAGATGTTTCTGTCAGTGGAGATGGGACTGAAGAGTGAGACTTTTACAGAACCAAAAATCTTATTGACTAAATTGTCATCTGCTTTTTCGCTGTCTTGAAAGTTCTCATCTAAAGAGGGTGATGTTTATTGAGTTTTTATTTATTATTCCAGTCTGTCACTGTTTTCTTTGTAGGCTTAAAAAATCAAAACCATCTATGTCCAAAATAGAGAAATATACATAAAAGAGAGTAGCTATTTTTAAAATTGATAGTGAAGAGACCTGAAAAATGTGAATTATTGACTAAAGCTGTGTGTGTGTGAGTAAAAATGCCAGTGAATGAGGGAATGCAGCGTTCATTCTTTTAAAAACACGTAAGAATTTAGTTTCATTATTTTCCTTTTTCCTAAATTCCCCTTATTACCTTTTCTTGACCATAGGAAATTATTTTCTGTGGTCCACCTTTCAGTGACTGTTGAGCAGGGTTTGAAGAGTTTGAAAAACTCAAATTTCACTGGATTAGATGTTATGAGAACTAGACAGGCAATTCCAGACAGGAAAGGGTCTGAATTTAATATAAGAATAAGTTCATATTTTGAAGAAAACAAGTTTGGCATTTGAAACAAAAACCTAAAAGGATCACTAGAGATTGCTTGGTTTTCACATGTTAATTTAGAAGCTTGAGAATTCTCATACATAGTTCTTTTCGGTGAAGTTCTTTGTGTGTGTGTGTGCATGTGTGCCATTTCTTACTCCAGAACAGGTAAATTTGTCTAATTGTTAGCAAGTCTGTCTTTTGAGAACCGTCAGTTGCTTTTTAAAAAATCTTTGATTAGAGAAAGAACTCAGATTGGTTCTAAAGCTCTTATTTAACTTAGGGGAAAAGTTGGATTTTATCTTGTCTGTTAATTACTTAAAAACATGATATGTACTGTCTATGGGTGACTTAAAAGATTACAAACTTATGAAAGATGCAAATGCTGTCACTCTGCCCTTCATAATGAATATTCTAGCTAAGAAAAATTATTGGAAAGGTAATTTTGAAGTAAATTTTCGAGGCAGGATTCTCTCAAATATATGGAAAATTGGAGGATCCATGTGTACCCATCTAATGGATACAGAATCTTGTTTCTTTGAAGATGGGGTCAAAGATTCTTATAAAAATACAGCTTTTGAAATCTTCATCTTTGGCCATTTAACTCCTTGGTCCCTGGTAAACACTGCTCCTTATCAAGACCCAGCCACAAATTAGCTGTGTCCTAGACACCCAAGAAGTAGAGTCAGCTGCCTGCTTCTCCTTGAGCCCTTAGATGGGGTTTTCCTGTAGACTCTGGGTGATACTAGTGGTGAAAAGGAAGTTTATATTTCAGGTTTTCTGCCACCAGCCTATTGAAGCAATAAGGGTTTAATCTGTAGGATTATTATGTTCAAATGCCTCAAGTGTGGGGGTTTATCATTAAAAGGCAAGGCAAGGATAAGCTAGCATAGGCACAGATTTGAATAGGCCTTAATTAAGACTTCCTACTGTAAATAGCCACTTTTTAAATACAGGATGCCAGTTTGGTCCATTCTTCACTGTTTGGGGCATAGAGACAAATGCAGAGGATTTCTGCTTGAAGCCTGACCTCACGATCCCTCTGCAAGGACCTACCTCACTCTCCACAAGAAATCCCCAAATTAGGGTTCCAAGGCCCAAACAACCTTATAGGTAATAGAGCTGAGTACCCACGTTTCTCTGCAAAGAGTTCCTTAGATCAGGGCATGGCACACATGCCCACAAGGAAAATGTAGAAGACCCTTGAGCTGAGAATGGTTTTCAATTTTTAAAGGATTGTTAAAGAAAAAAGGTAAACAGTGTTCAGCAGAGGCTATGGGTAGCTTCCAGAGGCTATAATACGTTACAAATGATCCTTCACAGAGGACATTTGCCAACCTCTGTGTGAGTAGCCCAGTTGAAGAAAGGACACTGGCCCACCTCAGAAATACCACACGTTTGGTTCCAGACACCGCAGTGAAGCTACATAGCAATAGAGTCAGGGCATTTTTTGAATTTTCAGTACACAGGACAGTTATGGTTATACCATACTATAACCTATTACGTGTACAATAGTATTACGTCTAAATGTAGGCACCAAAATTAACACAGACATGAAGTCAGCACACATTGTTCGAAAAATGACCCCACTAGACTCTCCAAGCAGGGTCGCCACAAACTTTCACTTTGCAAAAAATGCAATCTCCGTGAAGTGCAATAAAGCAACGTGCAATAAAGCGAAGTCTGCCTGTATCTGGTAGCATCCTTTTCAGAAAGGGCGCTACCATTTGTGGACACAAACAGATGGGCAAAACAATGGACAAAAGTGTAATCTTAAGTATTTGTGATATTTTTTATGAACTAGAATTTCACTTACCTCCTAATTTTCAAGATCAGTTTTCTAACAAACCAGGGAAGGTGTCTGCCCCCACACCCCCCACAGTATAACAAGTGCTGTTCAGGAGGACTCACCAAGTTGTGCTGAGAGTCTGTGGTCAGGAGGTCTCTCCCAGGCACGCACTTAAGTGATGCAGGGCCAGGCTGGGCGAGAGGAGCGGGCTTCTGGATATTGACTCAGGAGAATGAAGATCAGCTAAGGCCTGGCCAAAAAGACAGTAAACTCAACACTTGTAATAAAGAGCAAAAGAAATTGGGCTGGAGAAGTCTGAAAAGCCTCATCCAGAGACGCTGTGTGTTCAGCCTTGGACGCGCCTGCGCTCAGTGCTCCTGTTCTGGCACCAGGTGCTGCCCCTCTTTAAGCCTCCAGAGGATGTTCTCAGATTTTGCAATTCATTTAAGGACATCACGGTAAAAGTATAAATATTGACTTGTACCAGTGGCTTTTGCACATTTTCACCCCTAAATTGCTGGCTTTAGGCAGCGCTTTCCAACCTGAGGAAGCACTTTCTAAACCGGGAAGACTGCCTGTGGCTCAGCCTGGCTGCCCTGGAGACCAAGATAACTAGTTCCCACCACTGTCCACACCTGTGCGCTCAGGTGGGCAAACTCTAGGTTAACACAGATTTACATTTTAAACTCAGGCTTACACAGAATAGTTATCCTTATAAGAAGCCTGCATCACTTAGCAAGAAACTAAAAAGGCAAATGTGTTTCCCAAACTTAAAAAGACTTTAGAATTTTGTGTGGTAATGTGCAATGCAGCAAAACCACCTATAAGTAAATTATTTAGTTCTGTTTCAGTGGTTTATGGTATTTTTCCCTCTCAATAATGAGTGTTGTGATCAACCAAGGAGAATCTTTGTTTTGTTACTAAGACTATACAGTTGGGAATTATAAAAAATTAAGGAAACATCTTTAAAGGTTTTATTTATTTATTACCTTGAATGTTTTCCATTCAAGGTAAGAATAATTTTTTGGGGGGGCGGTGGATCTTGTGGTGTCATACACTTTCCATATGTGGCAAACTCGTGGCTACACTTATACAGTGAGTGTTAAGAATCAATAAAATGAAAGTTCATCCAATGACCCAACAGCTCTGAGCATTCTTCTTGTGATTCCAGTAGATTTCCCCTGAAGTTTATATCTTTTTACCTGTTGGAATGCCTGAATGGACTTGAATGTAAACTCAGTAAAATACACTGGGCAAGTGTGCTGGCACCCTGTGCATTTGCTGCGCACGATCACAGTGAACGTGGCCTTGTGCACATGAGGGGAGGAGGTGGTGTGTCCTGAAGCGCAGAAACGAAATATTTCACAAGAAGAAATAGTCACCGAAGTGTACTATTAAGCCATCCCCGCCAATAAAGGCCAGAGTAAGACTACTCTTCATAAGGTTTATTTTAAAGTACCTGTTTACTACATGTATCGACAAGGAAAAAAGAATGAAATGAACCAACTTTTATGTAATTTCTCTAATAAATGGAAAGATAAATACTCACTTTATGCCATTTTGCAATCAGATCTAACCTTAAAACCATCGGCATATTTCTCAATTAACCTCTATTATTGCTATAATAGCTCTTGATATTACTAATAGCTGTTACTAATAGTTATTAATAGTTTTTCAGCTGTTTGAGAAGGTATATGTAGAGCTCTTCCTGGAGGAGGAAGGTGGTTCTGAGCCATAACTGAAAATAGATGTTAGAGACAGATGGGAAGGGGAAGGGAGTAGCTGTGGAGAACAGCAAAAACAAAAGCCCAAGACTATGAAAAGGGGTGAGACAGAAAGGCAGAACAAATGGGGGGGGGGGGGGCGGGGAGCAAAGTGAGCACAGGATCGCAATCCTCAAACCGTTGGCAGCAGGGAGAATGGGAAAACGATATTAAAATAGACCTTGCTCAAATCATTTTTTGAGGCAGTGCGATAAATATAGGTCTTTGTGCCTGAGGACAAACACATTAAAACATGATGTCTGAAGTTGTCTAAATTCTATCCCATTTGCTTGAAGAGAAGGGCCTGCCTCCAGTGGCCAGCCATGTGAACAGATCTGAAAGGCAGTGGTTCTGTTCGGGTTTCCTTTGTTTCCATTTGCCCCATATGTCTGGAAGGCACAGTGGATCTTTATCTTGAGACCCTGACCTGCTAATGGCTTGTGGTGCTCTCTGGTCTGGGAGTGAAGAAGGGCAGGCCATCTCTTTGAGAACCAGACTACCTTGTGATGACGGGAAGGTCAGCAAAGGTCAAAGGAGTGCCCTTCAGTCCCAAAACCCAGCTTGCAGCTTCAGTGATTTGCCTGGATCCTGAGTACCAGGATGAAACCCAATACCTTGCGTGTCCTCCCCAACCCCATCTTGTCTAGGAGCCTGATCGCCTCAGCCTGTGGAGCTTCCTACTCCTAACAAAAGAGTTGATCTGCCAGTGCTTTTTCATCGTTTTTAACCAGGTCAGTCCCCAGCCCCCACCCCCATCAGGTGCTGAGTTGCTATTAAGGCTGACCAGCACCGATGTGACGTCTAGCCTTACCCTTTACCGCTGACCTTGTTTGGCAGGTGAATTGCATTCTGGGCTCCAGACTTCATGGCTACTTGAACACTTTTGTCAATAGCCTGTTGTGTGTAAGAGACCCAAACAAACCAAACTTTCAGAAGGAGGCCCGTCCAAAGGAAAGTGCTGACAGCCCCGGTTCTTGTTTAATACACACACAGCAACCCTGCCGCCTGCGACCTCGCGGTGCCTCTCTTCCCTGCTCTGCTTCCTAACCTTCTAAAATGTTAAATAACTACCTGAACTCAATTATATGGAGGGAAAAGGAAATTATTTTGTCTCCTGAATGAGGGAGAAGGAGGAAATTTGGCCTGTGGTCGGATATCAGAAGATGGTCTTCCTCCTTCCCAGAGTGGGACTGACTCACTGATTTCACATGCTCCTCTCACTCAGTTTTATTGTTGGCAGTTTGGACACTGCTTTTTTTTTTTTTTTTTTTTTTTGCCTTTTGTGACAATCAAAGTCTGAAGTGGCCAGTTTGAGAAGACCCAACCTCCTTCCTTGACTCCAGGAGCCAGCACTTCCTCCAGGAGCCAGCACTTCCTCCAGGACTCAGCACTTCCTCCTGTGAAGTGTCCACCTTCTCTGCCTGGCATAAATTTATTATCTAGATTCTAGAGTCAAAAAGAATGAGACACATTTCGTAGACTACTCAGCCTGTAAAGCCTTTTGTTTGGGTCAAAATTCCAGAGCATTTCTGGAATTGCCTGGCCCGTCCCCTTAAAGTTCAGATTTAATATTTTAAATTTAAAATTTTAAAATTTAAAATACATACATACATTTAAAATTTCAGACTTCGTGACCCTGCTGTCCATCAGTATGTCTGTTCCATCCCAGAACCTCTGAAAAGGGATCATTATGGCTCTGTGTTTACTTCTTGAATTTCTGGATATATAACAAATCAAAAAGGAAAAACTTTGTAGCACATAGTGCTACATAAATCGCTGTAGTCTAATCAAAATTTGGTTCTGTTGTGAAATTACGCTCTAGGTTTCTAGGGTTTGTATGAAAGAAATATTCTATAAATATTCTATAAATCTTCTTTCCAGATTGCTGTTTTGTGCAGTTTTAAAGCTACTTATAACATGATGTGAAGGGTGAGATGGGATTCCAGGCCTCTCAGCCTCTTTCCACTCTGTCCTCCTACCACAAAGCTTATTGGGGGTGTTTTGCAGCCATCCCAGGCCTGGTAGGTTCGGTTTAGAGAAAAGAATTCCTGTATCTTTGTCTTATACTAAGCATAGCTTCAGAACTTTTTTTCATAATAAACTGTCCTTAAAAGTTAGTGTCTTTCTAAATTCTCTCAAAAGTGAGGAAAGGGTAGATTTAGCTATATCAAAAGTAAGGTTTAACAGACGTCACGGTCAAAGCTAACAGATGGAAGACCAAGAAGGTGTTTGCAGTGACTAAAACTGAAAAGAGATTACTATATATTATACAAGAATTCTTGCAACCAACAACCAAAAAATAAAGGGAATCCAGAAGAAAAAAATAGGCCATGTGAATTAATAGGCGATTCGCTGTAGAGCCAGCCCGAAGGATTAATAAGAAGAAAATAAACTGAAGGAGCTGGGGAAATGTAAATGAAAGTGTAGAGCCTCTCACTGTGTTGGCAGTGAGGTGGAGAGAGTAACTTCTGTATTGCAGCTGGTGTATAAATTATCTCTGCAGGCAGTCTGGAGAGCTAGCTGGCAGCGCTTATAAGTCCACTGTGCATACACCCAAGATCCAGTGTTTACCAGAGAAATCACTACCTGGGTGCATAAGGCAACCCCAGAAGGATGCTCTTGGCAATGTTATTTGCTATGTTGTCAGAGAGAAGCAAAGCCGTGGATAATTAACAGGTGGCAGATGGACACTATGGAATACTATGTGGCCACTAGAAACAACCAACTAAAATGGATGGATTTTTTAAAAGTGTTGAATACTTTGCAGAGTGAAAAGTGATATTTGTAAAATAATGCCATTTATGTACAGGTGAGGCACACAGCAGTATATGCTGCAGACACAGAAGAATCTTCCCTTTCCCCTTCTGGGTTCTTTCGCAGATGTAGTAATTGACATAAGACAGATTAACCAGAGAGAAGCATTTAATTTCATAAGACAGAAGCCCCATGAAAATATGAGACTCAAGGGCAAGTTAGGCAACTGAGTTTTATAAGCCACCCCGATCTAAGGAATGGGGTAGGGGCTCGGGGCATCAAAATTTGAGGAGGGCAACTCACAGCAAGGTAATAGTAGGTGTTTGGTAATTAGAGGTTCACCCTCCCATGTAGGTAAGTGGTGTAGACAGAAGACCGTCTCTGGTAATAACTGTCTTTCTGGGCCAGGCTCCCTAGGTAAATTCTTGAGGCAGCTCAAGAAAAGGAAGAAGTTTTTCCTGAGTCTCCTGGGTCTTGATTACCTTCAGCCCAAAATAATCCACATGCCAAGTGACACATTTTGGGGTGGCATAGTCTGTTCCCCTTCGATGAACATAAGGATGTGCATATTTCGACAATCGAGCACTTTAAGATGGACATTACGGGCACACCGAGTGGTCATGACAAGAGGATAAAAGATGAAACTGGTGACCAACTACAGCCACCTGCCCAGGTGATTCCTGGTTGGAGTTCTGAAAGCCCCTATTCCAGCAGGCTCTCCGTTCAGGGCCAAGGGAGAGTCTCCCCAATGTGGTTTCTCCTCAACAGGGCAGCCTTGAAAATGCTCACTCAGACCCTGACCCACCTGGTTTGCTCATACTCCATTTGTTCTTGTTCCACTCAAAGGAAGAACTGAAGTAATTATCATGGCCCACAAGGCCCTATCCAGTGTGCCTCCCCTACTCCACAGCTCTCTGACTGCACCACCTAATTCCTCTCCCCAGCTCCCTGCTCCAGCTCCACTGGCTCAGGACCTCTGTGCTTCGTGCCTCGCTCTCCTCTGGAGGCCCCCTGGCCACCTACCTACCTCTAACACCTCTGCCCACTCGCTCTCCACCCCTCCTGCCTCGCTGTATGGTGCATCCAAGCTACAGTCTTGTTCCTGTGAGGCTTTACCAGAATATGACTCATGGGGACACAGATTTTTGGGTTGTTTGTCTCAGTGTGGTGTCCCCAGTGTCTGTTCCAGAGTCTGATCTACAACAAATGCTCCATAAATATTTGTGAAATGAAAGAAGAGGCGATCCTTGCTGAGGGGTGAAAACGTGGAGTGAGCTAAGCTACACCTTTTGCCCAGGGGCCTGGGGGCAGGGAGCACCGCTTTGCTCCTTCCTTCGTTGGAGGAAAAGAAAGTGATTCCTGTGCAGAATTATCCTAATAAAATAATGGTAGCTCTGATGTGCCAGGCAGGCAGTTCTAAGCATTTTGTTAATGCTCATAATCCTGAAGGCCACATCTGAAGGAGTGGCTTTTATTATTCTCATTTTACAGGTGGAAAGATAGACATGGCAAAGCCATCTGACTTGCCTTTGGCTACACAGCTAGTAAAAGGTGGGGCTGAATTTGGACTCTGGCAGCTTGGCCAGAAGCAAGAACCAAGAGCAGGCACCAGTCAAATGAAATGTGGCCGTCTAGGCTGAGCTGGCAGTAAGCTTTTTAACTTGAGGTAATCCTGATTTTTTTTTTTTAATTCTTTTGTCACAAGGGGTGGGTCACCAAAAATAAACTTTGTTGTTGATATCGTCTAACATATCATTGATGTTTTCTTCTTTGTATTTTATTGTTGCAGATTTTATATCTAAATCTTCAATCCATTCAGTATTTATCTTTGTTTATGGTATTTTGAGTAATCTAACTTCATTCTTTATGTGTGATTTTCCAAGCACCATTTTCCAGCACCATTCATTTTCCCCTTTTTGTGGTCATAGATTAGGTGCCGGTATGTATGTGGATATATTTCTAGGCTTCCCATTCTGTTCCATTGCGCTACATGTCTG